AACACATCTGGAAGTTCTGTCGCGACAATTAGAGGGAGTAGCAGCTTCTTTACCTCTTCGTATTGTTTACCAAAACAAACCTAACTTTTTCTTCTGTTCTTTCCGTTTTGTCGCGAAGGACGGGTCCACTCTACCGTTTCATGAAGAGATAGATTCATGCAGTTCCCATGCACGATTCCTTACAGCTCTATGATTACCCTACGAGGCTAATGATCTTCAGGTTCACATGCGTATGGCAGTTCAAATGGAGGAGGAAGGGCGTCTCGACCAAGCCGCGCAGCACTTTATCGCAGCCGGAAAACCAGCCGAAGCAGTCGCTATGTACGTACACGATGGAGACTGGAGAAACGCGGAGCAGGTCGCCAAGTAAGAACAATCATTCCTACACTGTCACCATAAAAGGAGAAGGTTTATATTTCAGAGAGCACTCTCCAGAATCGCTCCCAGACGTCTTCATAGCTGAAGCTCGCAAAGCATTGGAAGAAGAGGATAACGCACGAGCGGAAAGCTGTCTTTTGAGGGCGAATCGACCTGATATCATACTCAAGTACATATTTACAGCTAATTTCCAAGTAGGGTAGTGCTGTCACGCTGCAGAAGTGCAGCTCATGCAACCACTCACAAATGCGTTCGCTACCCGGAATGGTAAAAGATCGCACACGGGCCGTGCGCGGAGTAAACAATAATAGAAAGAACTAAAAGGGTGAACTTTAGTGACTATACTATGAAAAGCCGAGCTAAGGTGAAGCGGTGTTCCGGTAGTGTAATCGGTAGCACAGCGGCGCAGAAAGCGAGAGGTGCGGGTTGATTCCTGCCTGGTATCTCCCACTCCCGAATACCTCCACAAAGTTTAAAGGCAGCGAGCACGTTGAGACTGGGGGCGGAGTCACTTCAGTGACGTCATTAGTGTGGATGGTGGAAAGCGTTGGGCGGTGGTTACGACTGCGCTCCCCAGCGCGCTAATTTGCATTATCCTCCAATGACATACAATCACGCAACAGAGCGCTACAACCCCCTCCCCCCTCAGCCTTCGTGTTCAGTGTTCACTGCTTTTCAAAGCGCAGCGCGGGGTGCCCGATATTTTGTTTACGAACTCCTTGGTCTCTGCTTGTACATTTCAGGAAACCAAGAAATGAAAATAGAGATTAAAATTTAAGCCTCCACTGAACTTACAGGTTCTATCAGGAGAGCGGAATGTGGCCTGATGCCCTGCGCATTGCCAAGGAATACTTACCGCATCAGCTGCTACAACTGCAGGTATCACTTACTTCGCTACTTTCCAGTGGCATTTTAGGCTATGGGCTGCTTTTCATGTACCACTGCCAGGTGCACGAACAGCTATGCATCTTCGTATATGCTTACTAAATTCAATAACAATATAGAGTTTTCTTTCAGGAAGAATTTGAGCAGGTTGAGTTGCTAGGAGGTGGCCGCGGCGTCAGTTCTTTACTAGCACAAGGTCGAGCATTCGAAGAGCAACGTGAATGGACAAAAGCTGTTCAGGCCTACCTCAAGGTAAGTTGAACTGTAGTTCTGAGCCGTACCACAGCTTTCGCCATAGTAGCAGCGGTCGCGTTGCGTACTACTCGACAAATGCGTACGAAATGGAGCTGCATGAAGACCCTGAGCGGAGATGATGACTCGATAGTTATGTAGGGATTCTCGCCCGAAATATTAGATTGTTCATAAAATCCAGTCTTTTTTGACTTTGAATTTCAAGTGGGTGTACCTCGCCTGAAAGGAAATTTTTAATTGATATACGAACCACTTGGTTCTGTAAATCGGCCAACAGGTAGCAGGCTTGCTCAGTCCAGTTGTTCGGAATGGTGAAGCTTTGGGGGGGGGGGGACCCGGCGGATATCGTTTCAGCATTATGTTGGGTTACAAAGCATATCCAAGCCCTCGAAAAGTGATGCTCGATGGGCGGAGACTACTGACTAAGATGGTCGCAGCCTCACTACGTAGCCTAGCTGCTCCAACTTGTACAGGGTTGGTTGTGCGATGTGCGTCCGACCCACTAGTTGGGACTAATCGGTCCCTTCAAGATGGGTACTATGCAAAAAATATTGGACTACCTTGTGTATTCTGACATGCTGTCAAGAGAAATGTCCTACTGTAACAGTTCCACCAGGTTCTGGAGAGTTACCTCAGCCACTGACTTTATGAAGTCTGAACTTAAAGTCACCACAAGCTGTGAAGGCAGTGATCACCATGGCTGGGGGACAGTGCAGCTTAGATCACGTCACTCGACGTCAATGGTGGAGTAGTATTAAAAGGCGCTCACAACCACACCCTTAATGTGAAGAGTGGTCTAGTCTACCAACGACATCAAAACCGCACCACCCTCCAGCCATTATGATCACTACCATTAGCAGCACCTCCTGATCGAACTTGTGGGGTCACAGCGATCCATAATGGAGTTGTGATGCCGAGTTGACTAAAAATGAAAAGAAGCAAAGAAAATCGTCGATGAAGCCTAAAACAAAAATTCCCTTGAAAAAGAGGGCGGGCCAGACGAGTTGTACGAACTTGCCTGCTCCACGGCTCAACTAACCCGCGCGTATTTGAATTAGCCGCTACGCCGTAATCCACGTTGCGTGTCATGGGGTGTGCGCGACGTAACTCGTCCAAATGCTAAGATTAGTCGCCAAAAGCTGACTTTGTAAGACCCTAGCGCCATTGTCGCGCACTTTCGAGCCGCGACAACGGCACATCTGTGCTACTCGTGGGCTACTCTACCCACCACTGAATCGATTCTCTGACACGATTTCTGCTGGGGGTGCTGCCCAGGCCTAATTTGAACTTCAAAAAGCAAAAAAAAAGTAAACCTGTGTTCCGAGTGTGCCGTATTCAAGGCCTTGAAAAAGTTATAGCTGAATTTGAAATGAGAACAAAATTGAAAGGAGTAAGAAGAATTGAAACATAGTTGACCACACCAAGGAAAATTTCTCCAAATGGTGTGTAGAACAGTGGCAGGTTGCTCGCAATCAACACGAAAAAGCATTTGAAAATGAAGTGTCGAAAACGACAGAACTTTTTGAGGATTAATATTAAGAATTTTTACCGTCCAGGGTTGGACTTGGGGCTAAATTTGCTCAGAGGGGCAGTAAGACCTGCTAAATCCATTAGTTTCCGCGAGTTGTCAGAAAACCGTGACTCCTTTGTTCAGATTAATCGCTCGACTACCGACGACGAATCGGTGATCAATGATGCGCTGATGAAGAGTGCTGATTTGACGTTACGATTTTTAGCGAATTCAGATGAAGAGGTACTCAGGCAGCACCTTTCACTTATCTTCTACATTAAGTTGTGAAACTTACTTTGCACTACCGGGATTTATAGATGGTACTGAAAGTCGTTGAAGCGCTTGAAGCGAATAAGAGCTACGAGAAGATGGCCGAATTGCTGCTAGCCATTGGACAGAACCGACAAGCCGTCATGGCGTTGGCTAGATCTCAGCAGTGGTCGAAAGCTAAGCAGGTAAGCATAATTGAAATCTAATATTCCACTACACAACACGAACACTTCCAGGTAGCCAACGAGTTCGTTCCTGAGATGGTTCCAGAAGTTGAGGCTCAATACAAGGAATGGCTGACACAGGAGGGCCGAGTTGGTGAGCTGATTGATGTTGACGTCATCTCCGCCATCGATCTTCTGATCGCCAAAGGGCAGTGGGATAAGGCTTTGGATGCGGCTAGACAGCAGAAGGTAACTTGTTCGTATCTCGTAGCCCTTATCAAATCCTATTCAGTATTTTTATCGCTTTAGCACAAACCTCTGCTTGACAAGTACGTCGCCCAGTACGCAGCTGAACTGCTCGCGCAGAATCACATTGACCTGATGTTGAAGGTCTTTGAAAAGTACGGCGCTTCATCGAATCCGGCGAATTTCAATCTTTACAAGGCGATTCTTGACAAGGTAAGACAGTCAAACAAACACCAACTTCACCGCCGCGCACAAGGAATATCTCTGAGTCGGCCGCGGGCGGTCACGTTACGGAGCCGGGTACCCGACAAGGAGGCCTCGTCCGCGGCGAGAAGGCAGAGACGCAGACGGGTCAGCGGACGAGTCGCAGCGCGTACTGTAGCGATTAGCGTCAAGTTAAATAGAATGTACTATAGCACGTCTCACATCGCACAGCACGCGCTGCGACTCGTCCGCTGCCCGTCTGCGTCTCTCTGCCTTCGCCGCGCGGCAGGTCTCCTTTCGGGTACTTTATGCGTAGCCAATGCCGTGTGTGACTG